CTCGAAATTCCTTAGGCATCCCATCAAATGGATCATCAAATAAAATATTCTCATCCAATCCACCACACATTGTCTTCATGAAATTCCCAACAAGTTGCCACATAGCCCAATTCTCAAACTCCTTTAGTCCATGAGGCGTCACAAACCGAAAATCCCCCTCGACATTCATAATCTCGTGATTTCCATTCATCGTAATAACCCTCCCACCAACTTTCGCAGCCTCCCTCTTCAGTTTCTCAAAGAAATACAACAACTTAATCTCATCCCCACCCCGGTCCAGAATGTCCCCCACCTGTACAACTGTACTCGACCCGCCCGACCACCGATCGTTCAGGTCAATCAGACCCGAAAGCCTTAACGCCTGTTTAGTCTTTAAAAGGTCTCCATGGAGGTCCCCAATGGCAATGAGGCGAGCGGGCTGTGCAAATACAGTTTGTAAAGGAGGCAACCATGATGAATCCTTGGGATTTTTGGAATTCTGGATCGTAATCGGATCCGGATTTATGCTAGGTTCAGGGGGCAAGAAAAGGCCGCCGCTAACTGAGAAATCGACGAAAGCATCGACGAAGGAGGAGAGTAGCGAAGGAAGAATTTGACAATTAATTTGGGATTCCATTTATTTTTTCCAAATTTTTCGCTGTTTCTTTCCTATAAATATCTCTAATGGGGTTTGGTTTAAATTTGATGACAATTTCACAAGTGGTCACTCGAGATCAAGACGAATTCCAAATTGGTCTCTGGATTAAAATTTGATGACAATTTCACAAGTGGTCACTAGACTTTATTCCCCATCCTCGATAACTTACGAGCTTACGTCCACCCTTGGTTGGGTATAGTTTCTTTTCGATTTATCCCTCGTAGCCATTATCCTATTTCACACAATTCTACCGATGGAAAGGTTTTCAATAAAATTATATTATCTATGTAAAAAACATCTTTAAATTTAAATTGCAAGTCTTTGGCTCCAAACTCCAACTAATGTCTTATCAAACTTCAACGTAATTAATGTCATTCACCTTTGTCTAGGGGCATACAAGCCACCTACTCCCGATTGTCAGAATCCATCTTGTCTTGTCCTCCGAATTCTTGATCAATAATTTATCCAATGAAAACTAAAAAAACGCACGAGTTTTTCTCAATATGTTTACTAAAATATATGAGGATTATATCAGCCAAAAAAAATCATTTAATTCATAATTTCCTGTCATTGTAGTCAAAGAAGTATCACCATACATCTCAATCTCACTTTTTTTTTAAAGGAGTAACTGCTTGACAGAGCAGTCTTCATTCAATCATTCACTCTATTAGTTTCATCATAGATTCGCCATGAACTAACAACCATATTTTCATGTCGCGTATAATCTAAAATCAAATACGGTTCTTAAAAAAAATGATATTTTGGGAAATTCAAATTGATTCATTTGATTCTTACACATTTTTGCCATTAATAAATAGTAGAAATGTCATAATATGTATGAAACAGGAGGTCAATTGGAGGAAATCTTATTTTTAATGAATGTTAGTTCATGTCAAGGTTTAACGACTATTTACATCGAATATGTTGTTAACTGGGTTAATATAGTGATCAATTATGTAATGGTTACATGGGTCAATAATAATATTTTAAGAACCAATTTGAATTTTCACTGAACATTAAGGACCACGTGCGAAATTAACTCAAATTCAAGTGCCGTTTCGTGAGGTTCTACGAGATGTTAGACCAATAGAATAAGGAGCCGCCTTGGAATTGACTTTAGAGCATTACGCATCGTTTTCCTTGACGGTTGGATTGTCGCCTACTCTTTTTGACGATTATACTTATACTTGACTCATCATTTTTAGATATTTAATATTTGTAAACACTTTAGTCAAAAAAATATTTTCGAACAATTTTTTTTTTTTTATCCATACATTCGCAAGATTCACGAGTATTATTCACTTATACATCGCTCATTTATCAGTATTGTTCATACGTAACATATCATTTTATTCTTTTGGAAGTTAAGATTTCTTGAAACTCCCTCGAATGAGCTTGCTACGTTATTCGTTATTTATTTCGTAACATATGGTATCAACTCGAGCAACAAAACTCAGGAGCATATACCAGCAATGTTGCGATAGATAGAGATCTATATACATCATGACGATGTCAAACAATACGACAACGTTGTTGTATCATTTCAGCATGCCAACACATATTTGATCATATTAATAGTCAGATCAACCTATATGGCATATAGACTAAGTACATGCAATTGATCACAATCGGCCAAGTGATATATATGCAAATCGAGCATGGATAAGTAATTTGTAACCAAGCGATGATGATCACCAAAATTGCCTCGAGAGTTTTTGGAGTTTACAGTAAGCACGAAAAACATACCATAGACGATTCACTAAAACGTCGAAGCTATAGCTGCCTCTATATATGAAGATCTAGCAAAACCACACCAGAAACAATAGGTACCTACAGTACGAGTCCCATACCAGATGTGAACAAGAAATTGCAAGGGAACAAACTATGGCTCTTATTTGTTTACCTGTCGCATGATGCACTCAGAGTTGTACCTCTCGATCGTATATCCAGCTAAATGGAATTCTTGGTCCTTGCTTGGCCCGCCCTTGAGCTCTTTCCTCTAACCGTCTGATTCTTGGAGGCAATCCACAGACATAATCCTGAGCCTTTTGCCCTTCTGAAGATAGTCCAGTTAGCTTTGTCACGTTCCATCTGTTGACCAAATGCTCTAGAATGTCGGCATAGTCTCTAGCCGTGTAGACATCAAGCCGCTGAGCAACAGCTGAAAAGTGATCAAAAAGATTATCATCACGTCCATCATACATCAAGTGGGCTGGCATTGAGATTTTCTTCCTCATCATGTCAGCAAAAGCCAGCACTGTTCCATCAGGGTCGATCTCAAACAGCTTTTCAACTATTTTGGTGTATGCAATTTCATGACGCCTCTCGTCCGCGGCAATTGTACCACATATTTGAGCCAGCTTCAAGTCACCACGGTCCTTCGCGTGTCTTGCTGTGTTACCATGAGAAATGAAAGTGGCCCTTTCTTGGAATGATGTATAGATAAATCCAAGGTAAGGATTGTTTTCTGTCCGAGGATCCTGAAAATATTCAAGGACAATCGATAGAATGAGTCTAAAATTTCAAATTTTTATAAACAGCTTATTTGGCAAGAATCTCACCATTCCCGACCCTATCAAGTACTGGATCGTCTTCTCAATTTGTCTCATGTCTACTCGTCCCGACAGATAGAGATATTTGTTTAGGAGGTCTCCATGCCTGTTCTCTTCAGCAGTCCATGCTCTAGTCCAAGTTGCCCAGGGAGTAGGACTAGCCCCAGTTTCATCTCGCACCCCATCCAATGTATTAAGCATTGTCTGGTACGTTGGAAGGGCTTCTTCTGTGATCATATCGCCAACTAGAACGACAAAATAATCGTCAGGAAGTTCCTTTGCTCTCTCCCGTAGTTCCTTGACATGATCGTGAAATTCATCAGAAGCAGGATCTGGCAGGAAATCCTGCGGTTGCCAGCATTTTTCAACTGGCTTCAGGTGAACTAATATGTTTTCTTCAGCCCAGTCCTCCATCACCTTAAAGATCTCAATCTTTTGAGGTGGCATAGAATGTGTTACTTGAACGTGAACCTCATGTGGAGGACTAAATGGCTTCTTGAGAGTCTCAACCTCCCTGCAACAGAATTCGACAAAAAAAAAAAAGGGAAAATTTTAGACTGCAGAACAATCATTCAAGCATAGCAGGGAACTTCTAAGCAATTCATAGGTAATCGTATCCAGAAATGCTAGTATCCATGTTGGACAGTAGACTCCTCAAAAGTAGACCAACATACTCTAATGTCCTATTATAATCGCTTTACTATTTAAAAGTTACACATAAGCAAAATAAAATGAAATGCAAATCGAACTCCTTATTAACGGATAAGCATATTACATCATTAAAGGCCATCTTACAGAATCGAAATGCAAATGTATCCCAATTATAATATCAGAGACAACAAAGTTACGATTGGCAATCAAAATCAAGAGAATTAGCATTTTGACGTTATCTACTGAAGCTGTTAATGGAATGTCTAAATCTATCTTAAGTATTTCTGTGGATAACTTACTCTATAATAGATGGATGAATAGAGAGAAACAAAGAGTATCAATGCGTAAACAGGCAGTAGGAAACTAAGTTTACGAGAAGAAACTAGGAAGAGATATCCGAAAAATCATTTTTCCAGATTGAAAACACTTATCGATATTACAATTGGTTACATTATTTGAGTTATCTAAACATCCAAAACAATCATATATTATGCCATGGCCGGCTCTCTTCAACCCCAAAGATGCGCATCCTAAACGGCAAGGTATCAATAAAATAATTCACGTCAAGAAAATAATAAGACAATTCAAGGTATACGTGCTATACCTTACAGAAAATGGGATGATCATACATATAAAGGAGTGACAATGTAAACAATAACACACAAAACACGGTAATCACGATAGAAAACTTTGTCACAAAAACTCAACAAATTTGAAGAATTAAATTTCAATGTTCATTTGATTGTTGAAAGACTCAAGCAGTTGTTATCAACTAGAAAAAAGAAAAAAATAAAAATTAAACCAAAGTACCAACAACAAATTATACCAAACATTTTCTTATAATGATCTGATGACCATATGTTATCAGATTATCATTAATCTCTTCTCATCAGTTTACAGAAAGGACGGATTTGATAATCACAAAAAATGTACATTAGCACAAACTAAAGAATACCTTACATACCTTAATCTATGTATAAGCCAAAAAAAAAGAAAAGTTTAATTTCTTATCTTTTTTCTTTTGGGGATGGGTGGCTGTATATAAAATTTACAAAGATTAACTAAACTAATAGCATGCATCCATTTGAAGATGTAACTTCATGAACCACAGGCACAAATTAACCAAAACAAAAACCGAATTATAAAAAATAAAAAGTTCGAAAGGCAAGCGTAAAACATAATCTTCAAAAAGAACAAGATAATAGAGCAGAAAACAATTGTATTATCTAAACAATGCGTTGAATATGAGTTAAAAGACAAGAAACTGCAAAAATCAGAGATAAAAACAAAAAACCCAGATAAAGAAAAAGCAGAAAAACAATAATTTGCATTAAAGATCCAAGCTTTATAGAGAAAGACTAATAAAAAAAAGGCCTAAAGGATTTAAATAATTATAAAAAAGGAAGTAAGAAAGGAAGGCTTATTACTTGGAGCCAGAGCGAAGAGTAGAAGCCATGAAAAACTTGGGAGATCTGTGGCTGACAACAAGTGGTAGAGCAAATGAAGGGCATTTTTGGGATTGAAAGTTGATTGCATTCAATTTCAAAGCCATTTTTTTCCAGCTTGATTTCAATGTAATCTTCTGTTTTCTGCTTTAATTTTCAGGTTTTGTTTCCTCCACAGAAGTGGTGGCTGCAAAATATGTGAGAGAGAAAAGGAGAGAGATGAGAAATTGTGGGACAGGGAAGCCAGTTGGAGTTGTTTGAAGAAAAGGATTTAGCTTGGGAGCGAGAGAGCGTGTATATATATTGATGTTTTAAAAACGAACTCGACCACGAACTCTGCGTGATTAGTGATTTTACCGTCATATAAACTGATGATATCATGATAACAATGTTTATAACCATCGTCGATTTCAGTGACGATCACGGACATTTGGAATTAGTAAGTCACAATTAAATTATTAAAAAGTTATAAAAAAATTATTTAGAATTAAGCTAAATGACAACATTGTTTAACACATCTTTCACAATCGAGATGTGGGTCCCATATGAATAAAATAATGCCGACCTCCCCATATGAGTGAATGTGTCAACCGATATGTCAAGTTTTGTGGTCCTGTAGCATGACCCAATTATATATTCTACAAAAA